GTCTCAAAAAGTCCAAAAAATAAAAATAAAAAAATTAAGCACGGCATTTGGTTAAAAATATTTGCATTTGTGAGCTCTGCAACTTTGATTCTACATAGTCATTCCAGAGGGAGAGTCTGCATCTTTGGATGACCTAAAAATCCGATCTGCGGGCTGTTATTTTGGGGGCCACCCCTTATTGCTAGTCTCATAGGAGGGCATCTGGGGTTCCCTCTGGTTCGCTGCAGGTGGCTGAGATACCATCATTTCTCAATCCTAGCTGTTCCTTGAAAGATTGCAGATTTCAGGATACTGATCAGTGCTTAGCCCCACCCTAGACTGAGTGCTACAGATGTCTAGGATATCCCAGGTGAGCCTCATTCAGAGCCAGGCTGAGAACTTAACTCTCTCTCTCTCTCTCTCTCTCTCTCTCTCTCTCTCTCTCTCTGGGATATCCCAGGTGAGCCTCATTCAGAACCAGGCTGAGAACTTACTCTCTCTCTCTCTCTCTCTCTCTCTCTCTCTCTTTCACACACACACACACACACACACACACACAGACACTCAGTGAGCCACACACAGTGTTTGCTGAGTCCAGTGCTGCCGTGACCATACGCTACCTATGTTTATTTCAATCTAAGGTTAAATAAAATGTGAAATGCTGTCCTTTAGTGGTTTAGCCATGTTTCTACTTATGTATTTATTTTCTTAATGGGGGTGGGGACAGAGTTCTAGCTACATTTTCCATGCTCCACAGCCACGTGTGGATAGTACTTACAGTACCTGACAGCACAGAAAGGTCTCTTTCTAACATTCTAATGGAGATCTGGCAAGCAACCAATATATTGAAGTATTAATCTTAAGAAGTTTGTGCAAAGCTCATTATGGAACGTATTCATCAGGAGAAGTCAAGATAATTTCTACATGACATTCCCAAGCATTCTGTATATGAAGTATCCTGAATAAAGATAAATATACCTTGGAATAGTCAGAAATTTTAAGACAATATATTTAGTGTAAAGCACTTTATATCTACATCCGTCATCAAATGTGTGTATCTGCCTTTGTGTTTGACTGTCTAACAATGATGTTTTAATCATTTGTCTACCCAAACTTTGGAGTTTCAGAACCAGGAGTGTAATTTTGATTTAGTTATTAATCTGTTATGTGGCCTTGGAGAATTCCCCTGGCCTTCCCAAGACAGGTTTCCCATGTCAGGAATGGGTTGGCCTCTTCCTCTTGCATCATCTGGTTCTGTGATTGCCAGCTAAAACTACATTTATACAAAATTATAAAATGGGGATGGGGGTTGGAGAGATGACTTAGCCATTAAGAACCCAGGCTGCTCTTGCAGAGGACCTGGATTTGGGTCCCAACATCTATATGACAGCTAACAAGCATCTGTAACTCCAGTTCCAGGGACTTTGGCACCCTCTTCTGGACTCCACAGGCAATGTATGCACAGGTACACTTACATCCATGCAGGCAAAACATTCATACACAGAAAACTTTAAAAAATTTTGGCTTTTTTAAAAATTATAAAATGCAAAGTAGGGGATAGAATTGTGATTGCCAGACACTTGGGGTGGGGTGGGGGTGCAGGGAATGGGGAGAAGTGAACCAAATGGTTCATGTTCTGGTTAGACAGGAAGAATGTTTTCAAGATCTGTTAATCATAGTTAATAACACTGTAGTGTATGTTTCAAAATGGCTGAAAGAATAGATTTTATGTATTCTCACTACAAGAAAAAAGAGAGGTATGAAGGTGACATGTTGGTTGCCCTGACATACTATGTGAGTTTTCCATTACTATAACAACCCCATGAGTTGAGTAGGTTTCTGTTGGCTCACAGTTTGGGAGTTTTCAGTCTCTGTTTGATTAACCCTGTTCATCTTGGCTCTGTGTAAGGCAGTACATTATGGCTAGAAAATGTTGGGAAACGAGTTGCTTACCTTATCGCCAGGACATGAAGAAAGAAGGAGAAAGAGACCAGGATCCTACAGTCCTCTACAAGGAAACACCCGTTCCCCTTGATGTAAATCCTTTTACTATGCACCACCTTTTAAAGGCTTCACTACCATGCCAGGATGCCAAACTGGAAACCAAGTCTTTACTGCAGAGGACTTTGAAGGACATTTCAGATCCATCTCCAAAATGATCGTTCCATAATACACACATATCAAAATATCACAGTAAATTCCATAAGATATATAGTTGCTAATTAGAAATCAAAAGTTAACAGTTGAAGAGATGGTACAATAAAAACACTTGCTATGTAAACATGAGGAACTGAATTGAAATCCCTAGTACCCACATAAAAAACTGAGTGTGGCCACACATCTGTAAGCCTAACACTCCTACCTTAAGGTGGGAGGCAGAAACAGAAGGATTCTGGACCGCCTAACATGGCATATGGAGTGGTAACAAACAGAGACCCTGTCTCAATTAAGGTGAAAGACGAGGACCAAAATCCAAGGTGTCACACACACACACACACACACACAGTTTTTTTAATTAAATAAATAAATTTTCAAATCAAATATTTTTGCTGATAGCCTAGGTAATAAGAGAAGTTCTGGGGCTGGAGAGATGGCTCAGCAGTTAAGAGCACTGGCTGCTCTTACAGAGGACCTACGTTCAATTCCCAGCACCCAGTGGTGGCTAACAACCATCTATAACTCCAGTTCCAGGGATTCCAACACTCTCTTCTAACCTCCATGGGCATTGCACAGCATGGGTGCACTTACACACATACAGGTAATACACTCACACACATAAAATATTTATTTTAAAAAGAAAAAGAAAAGTTCTACAAAAGATAAAAGTCATTTCTTTCTTTCATTTGTTTGTTTTTGAGACAGGATCCCTGCAGCCCCAGCTGGTCTGGAACCCACAGGCTGGCTTTAGTCTCACAGAGATCTGCCTGCCTCTGCCTCCCAAATGCTGGGACTAAAAGTGTGCACCACCACACCCAGCTAAGTCTTTTCCTTTTTAAATTAAAGTTTTTGTTTTAGATTAAGCAACAACTTGGGATGATCCTCTCAGGAATCATGAGGCTTATGCCTGCTCAACCACTCCCTATCACCCTATGACCCTTGGAGACCAGGGCCCAGCACTTCCTCCTGTGGCTTCCTCCTCTTTACACTCCACTTTGGTGGCAACAGGCTCAGAGCAGCAGTGCTAGAAGGTGATGGAGACTTCGGAGTCTAAAATGTTTTCCTCAGAGCACTTCAAGGTTTATTTAGACAGAAGAGAAAATAATAGATGACGAGTTTTATGGGGCTGTGGACATTAACCATGCATACATACATGTCAGCAAGCATGTATGAGTTGTAGTTCCACACTCATCACTTGGACCGTCTCCGGGACCTGTGTTGTTCTCTCTCCTGTGGGCTTTGGGAGGAAAGTAAATAAAGAATGCATGTGGTAGCGTTGAGAAGCTCTGCTTTCTTCCCAGATGGTTTTTCTTTTACTTTAGTCCTGTTCTTTGTTCAGCTTTTCCATCTTTGAACCATGTTAAGCTAATAACCCATCTTCACTCGTGGGAATTTTCCATGTTTCCCAGCCCCCTGGCCCCCACAGTGCTCCTGGCCTTCCCCTGTGTCAGCAGAGGGGCAGCCTGTATTTTCACAGGTGGAGAGGCCAAACCTTCATACACACAGACCCCAATGGCCCTGGCTGGGGGAGGAATAAAGCCTGAATGTTTTAATGAGCAAATTTTTTCAGATAGGGCTAAATAAAGTCTGTTGTCATCAGCAGAGGAAAAGGAAGAAGGAATAGAAATGTCATTAAAAATGAATATATTGACAAAGTTGGTTTAAAAGTCTAAATTTTTTTCACGATTCTCTTATATCGGTTTTGTTTATTTGTAATTCATAAGAATTACTCATGAGCAAAATACAATTTATACATGTATGAAATGTCATATAAGGAAATTCATTATTTTGTATACTTAAAGAAATTTAATAGTAAATTTAAGTTGGACATTGTGTTGTATGCCTATGATTCCAATATTTGAGAAGTGGAGACAGGAGGATCAGGTATTCAAAGTCATCCTAGGCTACTTTGTGAGTTTGAGGTCACCCTGGGCTATATAAGATTCTCTGAACAAAAACAAAAATTTGTTTCTATTGTTCAAAAAAATTTACTATGAGTGAAATTTTTCTTTGCTTTGGTTTTCTTAATAACTGCCACATTTCTAGCATGTCAAATAGTTAAACCATCCTTTAAAAGACTTAAACTTGGGGCTGGAGAGATAGCCCAGCAGCAGTTAAGAGCACTGACTATTCTTGAAGAGGGCCCAAGTTTGAGTCCTAACACCCACATGGTGGCTAACAACTGTCCCTAACTGTAGTTCCAGGGGATCCGACACCCTCTTCTGACCTCTACTGACATTGCATGATATGGGTGCACTTACATACATGCAGGCAATACACTCATACACACAAAAAAATTTTTTAATTAAGGAAAGACAAACATCTTAAAAATTGGAAAACTTTATCATGAAAACGAAAGTAGTCTGTGAGCTTAGCCTTTCTGCCTTTGGCCTGTCTTGGTTCCCAGAATTCATTAGTTATATTGATTCTTATGCTCACTTTTTTGTTAGTTTGGTTGTTTGGTTGGTTGTTTGTTTCTTTGAGACAAAGCTCCTGTAGTCTATACTGGCATTGAATCCTCCCCTCCTGCTTTAACCTCCCAAGTACTGGAATTACAGGCATGTACCACCATACCTGGCTCAAGATATTCTTAAATCTCATTGAGAGATGCTTTGAATATACAATGTAAAGTCAGAATGACTGGGTAAGTTTTTAAATACCCAGTGTTCCTTCTCCACTGTGTGCCTCAAGTTGATCAGGATTTCCATTCTTCCAGTCCTTTGGGATTTTAATTTGTCCTTGTTCCTCTGTAGGGGACACCTGTATTTGTGCACGCTGGCCCCTTTGCTAACATAGCTCATGGCAACTCCTCAGTGTTGGCTGATAAAATTGCACTGAAACTGGTTGGTGAAGAAGGCTTTGTAGGTAAGTAATTTGTTTAAACTTAGTGGTTATAGAGTATTGATAAAATCAAAAAGATAATGATTGGAATAGAGTCTTGATATGAAATATAATATTGTTGTTGTTGTTTTGGTCTTTTTGACACAGAGTCTCCCTATAGCCCCCACTGGCTTGACACTTGCTGTGTAGACCAGGCTGGCCTCAATCTCACAGAGATCTGCCTGCCTCTGCCTCCGAAGTGCTGGGACTAAAAGCATGCACTACCATACCTAGCTGAAACATAGCTTTTTAAACTTTTCTTTTAGATGACCTCAGTACTAGAAATGTCTTGTTCTACACAAGAAAAATTATGTCATGGTTGAGCCACAGATTCTGAGGTCAAGCACATACGTATTTAAATATAAGCTCTGATACTTGTCATCTGAATGGCCTTGGACACATTTTTAATTACCATTGACCCTCAGTTTTCTATAAAATGATGCTAATGGTATTCTATTGAATGTTTTTTAGAGTAGTTATGAAAATGAAATGCATTCATTTAGTCATCCAGCGAATATATATTCAGAATATGTATATACAGCATGCTAGATCCAGTGGTTAGCAGAACAGACCTAGTTGCTAATCTCATGGGACTGGGACGTACTGTCAGATGACATATACAGCTTAGGAGAAAGTGCTCATCTCCTGTGAGTTCTTAGTAACAATAATGGTAGAACTAATACTTTAAAATCACTTTTTTCTTCCTGGAATCCTGGTGTGGTTTTATGATCTGGTAGACGAAAGGTTCCTGACCAATAGACTTGGAAATTTTATTTAGTAGGATTACATGCTTTTGACTGCTGTCAAGAGGGGCACCTGCCATCGAGTTTGTTCCTGGGTATCAGCCGTAGTCTTAATCCAAATAAGAAGGCAAAAAAATAAATAGGGATTCATGGAAAAGCACCCTCATTGACATAGGAAGGGTTATAGTGTCATATTTCCACATGCAATTCCAACTAACCACACACATGCCCGTAATCAAATACAGCATTAGTTCATTCACACTTAACAGCCTTGTAGTAAACTCAGAAAGTAAGTTCTTTTACTAGAAAAAATCTGCTGGGCAGAAGATCTGTACTTTCCTGCTGTGACATCACAAAGTTCATTCCGGGTTATTGAGACTGATTTAAGAATTTCTTACAGACATGAAGTCAGGATCAAGTAAGGATTTATGTAATTCCACTCTTCAAAGGTCTGCATAATACAGCAATCATGTACTTTGATGCTTAGGTACCAAATCTACTGCAAGAATGGCCAGGCATGCTATCTAAGTGGATTTGACTAACTGTAGTGCTAATGGCCAAGGAGGCTGGGAAAGGGAAGAATAATGAGAATAGATGGGTGCTTAAGTGAAGTGGTTCTAATGTATCCAGTCTGCAAATTTGAAAGGGCTTCTAGAATAAAGCACTCTATTTTATGCTGATGGTGCTCTGCCTTACTTTATCACACAGGTATTTATAGAATATGTATTATCATGAAAGAATATCTTTAAAAATACATGTTGATGATATATGCAAAGCATGCTAGCTCTCCTATAGCTTGGACAAGACATTAGCCTCTGGGTGTATGCCTTGAAGCCATCCTCATCTGGAAAATGAGAAGTTGGACCAGATGAGGAACTAGATATGGATGGGTGTCTAGGATCCAGGGTTAGATGCTGTGGAATCGGAGCCTCTTTTGGTAGTATGACCAAGCAAGTACTTCCTTCTTTCCTCGGACTTAATTTCCTCTTCTGATAACAGGAAAACCCATCTGTTGCAATAGTCTGATAATATCCAGGAAAGAGTGATTTGTAAAACATAGGGACCTATGCAAATAACAACGATGCTTGTTACTTCTCTGATCCCTTGTAGTCTCAGAGGCTGTAGGCAGGGGAGATTTCAGTAGTGATGAACTTCTCCACTGGTAGATAGAGTCAGAGTACTTTTTTCAATTTCTTTGCCTGTAAAATAAGACTTTAAAGACAAAGTATTATCATTCATGTGCATGATGGTGACAGGACACATGCCATGGCACATATTTGGAGGTCAGAAGACAACTTTGTGGAGTTGGTTCTCTCCTTTCACGTTTACATGGGTTTGAGAGATCGAACTCAGGTCACTGGGCTTTTACAGTAAGCACCTTTACCTGTTGAGCCATTTCACCAGTCAAAACAGGGCTTTCAAGAGGATTTTCGTCACAGATTTGAAAGAGGGTTCAGTGCTTTCAAGTTCTGTCATGCACCTGCTAATCCTTAGCTATTCTTCATCGTAACTCTCCCTTTCAGTTTATTTTGGAGTGATGATTTTATTTTTTAATCGTTACATAATATACATCATGTAAAATCTCTCTTAACTCTTCAGCAGGAAACTATATTCCAACTATTGAGCAGCCAGTGTCCAGTTCACCTTGTAGCAAGTAGATTTGTGCCCATTAAGCGTTCATCCAGCATTTGGCTTTCTGTCTCTGGTTGAAGCCTCCAGAGACCCTGTCCCTCTGCACCTGGCTTACTTCACTTAGCAGAATGCCTTCCAGGGTTATCTATGTTGTAGCATTTTTCAGAATGTTTTGTTAAATTTTTTTTATTATTTTTATTTTATGTGTATGTGTGTATTGCCTGCATGTAGGTAAGTGCAATGCCCGCGGAGGTCAGAAGAGGCTGTTGGATCCCCTGGGACTGGAGTTATGGACAATTATTAGCTGCCATGTGGGTGCTGGGATTCGAACCCAGGTCTTCTGCAAAAACAACCAGTGTTCTCAACTGCTGAGCCATCTCTCCAGCCCCTTGTCAGAATGTTTCAAGGCAGATTAATAAGCCACCCTATTACCAAGCATACTATTTGTCCAACAATGGGCATTTCAGTGGCCTCTACTTCTTGGCTATTGTAAATACATTTACTGTACACCTGGGTGTATAGTAGCTCCTTTTAAATGATCTTCAAAGTCTAAACATCATCCTCTGTTAGGTACAAAATGTGTGACATATAAATATGTTTGCACAGAGCACAGGTTATCACCATGTAGTGCTACATGCTCCTGTAGGTGGTATGTCAAGGCTGCACACCATTGGCTCATGGGCAGCAAATCCTGTGTGTTTCATGAGCAATGGAAACCAGACATAGTTAGGAGACACTGTGCTGTGGCCTGGTCAAGTCTGCCCTGGACTGGTTCATCCCTGTCCTTTAGTGAAGTCTGTGGTAACTCTCATCTCAGATAATGTCTTGTCCCCCTTAATTTTTTTTAAAATTCTTCTTGTCACTTTCACAAAAATAACCCCATTTTAATGAACAGTGTGTCTCCAAATTTCATGCAGATTTAAGCTCCTTTGTCATCCAAGGCTTTTTTAATTAATTACTTTTTTATTAATTTTTTTCATGTGTTAATATATGGGGCATTGAACATATTCCCTCATGTGTTCCTCCAGCTTCCGTCTCCTCTCCACTCTCAATAGTTTGATGTGTTCTCCTGGACAATTGACTTCTACTTTCATATCAAATATATGTGTATGAGTTTATGTATCTATAAATAGAATCTAGCAACCACAAATGAACGAAAACATATCCAGCATTCCGAGACTGGCTTAATTAGCTTAATATGATGGTCTCCATTTGCATCCATTTTCCTGTAAACAACATAACTTCATTCTTATTTGTGGCTGAAAACATTCCATTGTGTGTGTGTGTGTGTGTGTGTGTATTTCCCATTTTCCATATCCATTTTGTTGTTGGATACATAGACTGGTTCTATAATTTAGCTGTTATGTCCTAAGTTTTAGACTTGCACTGCCTGGCCCCTCTAGCTGTTGAGCCTTAGTCTTGCACTGTCCCTGTCCCTCTGAAGTTGAAGCTTTGCCACTGATGGTGCCCATTCCAGCCGAGGCCCACTCTGGGCAGTGCCCCTGTAGACAGCCCTCTGTCTTATCCACTCCTGTTCTCCAGCAGAACAGACTGAGACAGGGTCTTATTTTATAACACCGCCTGGCATAAAACTCATCATGTCCTGCCTCAGCCTCATGCGATCTGGGATTCTAGAATTGCAGGTGTGTACCACATCAGGCCACCACAGACCTTTGACCTCTAACAAGGGGACCTATGGCCCAGTCTTTCCAGTTGATTATCTAAACCTCATTTGCTGGCTGGAGCGAAGCAGGGCATGGTTCTTCTTCCCATTGGGCAGTAGAGGGGACCTGGATTTGGATTCAGCACATGGTATAATTTTCTTGAAGAAATCCTTCCCAGGTTCTAACCCTATCGGTTCTTTTGAAACATTGAGGCAACATTTAGGCTAAGTATGGCAAAGCCTATTTTCAGACAACTTCATTGTAAATCCTGCTAGATCAGCCAGCTTGTGAGAAGTGGACACTGGGGGCATGAAATAAAACAGACAAATAGAGCCCCATTTTTACATTCTTCAGAAGTTAAAGGCAATGGGCATAAATAGGGTTTACCTAAAGTCTAAAGAAAATTTTATTTCCTTGAAAAATGTTGTTTATAAGACTGTCTTTATGACCTTATAAGTTACAAAATGCTCAAACCCAAGAGAAAAAGATTGATACTTTGAGTTACATTAAAAAATAATTTGTGGGGGGCTAGAGAGATGGCTCAGCGGTTAAAAACACTGGTTGTTCTTACAGAAGACCCAGGTTTGAATCCCAGCACCCACATGGCAGCCAGCAACTGTTCATAACTCCAGTTCGAGGGGATCTGACAGCCTCTTCTGTCCTTCATGGGCATTGTATGACATGAGTGCACTTACCTGCATGCAGGCAATACATGCATACACATAAAATAAAAATTATAAATAAAATTTTTAAATAATTTGTGGGACTAGAGTTGTAATTTAGTGATAGAGTACTTGCCTAGAATGTACAAGACCCTCAGTTCTATTCCCATCCGTGTAAAAAGGATAAAAATCAAAGCTTCATGGTGAGTGATAAAAGGTTAAAAGGCAGGTGGCATGGGGAGAGTGTTTGCAAATAATAAACAGATGGTTAGCATTGGAAATAA